TAATATACTATTAAAATGTTAATTCAAATTAAATGCATTATTAAAATCATAAATTTTTCTTCAAATAAAAAAATTATAAAATATAATACAATATTTATAATAAAAAATTATAAAATATAATACAATAAAATAATAATATTTTACTAATATTACTAATATTTTAATGATGAATTATGTATTTTATGCTTCTATTTAGGAAAAAAAATATAATGTTGGATACCCTGAAAATATCATCAGAATATCTTCCGGTAAGAGGTCGCATTCTCAACGTTCATGGATCCTTTTCCGGTAGAGTAACAAAATGACTGGCTTTAGTAACAAGGTATGTTTGTTAAGTTTTACTGTTTGAAGCCTTATAAGATAATTCATATTATATAGTATATATTTGTTTTAATCTATACAATATGTACAAAAATTTGAAAAATATCTTTTCCACTTGAAATTAATTATTTAGAAATATATTCACACATTTATTGTATCATTTTCAGTACACGTGTTTTCTTATTAAGTTATTTATTATATTTCCTTGTATAATGATGTAAGTTTTATATTTAATTGTTTTTCGGTATTAAAATAGTACATGTATATATATTAATTATATGATATTCTAGAAATAATTATTTTATTTTTAAATCTGTCAATTGACACGTGTTTGTTATTGGTAATCGTATATACATTTATGTAATTTCAATTTTCAGTGAAAATTCAATGTTATAAATATTCCTTATGTATAGTATTTATATATAAAAACAAAAAGATACTAATTATCGTAATTATATGTTTTTAGCCAATATTAATTGATGGTCGTGGCCATTTACTTGGTCGTTTGGCAGCTATAATTGCCAAAACGATCCTACAGGGCAATAAAGTAATTGTTGTTCGTAGTGAACAACTTAATATATCCGGTAATTTCTTCAGGTTAGTAAAATTAAACATTATTATAGTAAATTATATTACGAGTTATGTAAATATACATATATATATATTTTTTAAAAGTCTTTTAATATATAATTATTGAAATTCATTTTATATTAATGTTTTATTCTAGAAACAAGCTGAAATTTATGTCATTTTTACGTAAAAGATGTAATGTAAATCCAGCTCGTGGACCTTTTCATTTCCGTGCCCCTAGTAAAATACTTTGGAAAACAGTTCGTGGTATGTTAAAATGTTGTCATTTAACAGAATTTTATAGTTTTATATCAATCAATGATTATGTACATATTACCTACATTATTTGATGGTATCATGAAAATGACATTTATATGAGATTAATTATTATAAATAATTAAACAACCTAATACACATATTTTATAATATGCTGTGTGTTGTTTAACTGAAAGTACCATTGAATTCATAGGAATGATCCCACACAAAACACAACGGGGAAAGGATGCTCTTCGGAGGTTAAAGGTATATGAAGGTTGTCCACCACCATATGATCGCAGAAAACGTTTTGTTGTACCAAGTGCTATGAGAGTTATGTGTCTTAAACCTGGTAGAAAGGTAAAATGAAACATTAATTACTTATATAGTAAATTATCTAAGTTTTTACAATGATGGTATGGTAATTTGCGCCTGATATAGTTTGTGATGTTACATTTAGCTGAGTAAATAATAAGAAAATGTACATAAATGTATTTTATAAAAATATATGATACTAATGCAATGCTTTTTTTTTTTAAGTACTGTCATGTAGGTAGATTATCTCATGAAGTTGGATGGAAATATAAAGCTGTTGTACGTACATTGGAAAACAAGAGACGTGTTAGGTCAATTCTTGAAGTTCAAAAGAGAGATAAACTCAAGGTATATTTAAAAATATGGCAAGTATAAATAATATCAAGAACTATTTTTATATGTTCTTTTTCTTGTTTCAGAAACTTACCAAGCAAGCTGGGCAAACAGTTGCAAAGGCTACCGCACCGTACACAGCAATTATTAATAATTTTGGATACAATTAATATAAAAAATGTAAAAATAATAAAGCTCCATAAACATTTTATTTTGCAATGACTACATATCCTTATAATATTCTCAATATAATTCTCAAGTATGTATATAAAAAGTATATATTTTAATATTATAATTCATTAATTTAATATTAAGATTCATCAATGTATTCATACATTTACAAAATATCTATATACGTAAATTAATTAACTTACTATACTATCTACTGTAAAAACAACAGTCCCTGCTTTGTCATTATCTTCATCATCATGTACTTCATTTTGTTCTTCATCCGAGGTAGAAAAATCAGATTCTTGTTCATTTTGTAGACGATAAGTCCCTATGTTTTCAGGTGGAGGACCAATGTTATGTACACCAAAGTGTTCAGCTAGTCTTTCAGCTGCGTATTTAGCTTGTATCTTCTAAAAAATATTACAAATTTATATATAATATACATTCTTTATAAATATTTACAATATTACAAAAATTAATTACATGAAGTTTATCAGCTTGTTCTTTTTGTAACTCTAGAGATTCGTTTAAATTAATAATTTTTGCAGCACCATGAATTATAAGAGGTGGTGTTGCTGCTGTAACTTCCCAATTTTTATTTTGCTTTCTTTGTTTTTCTTTTTTTGGATCATGTATATTAGTCTTAGTTGTTTTATATGGCTTAAATGGTTCTTTCTTTTCAATCTTATTTTCTGAAGAGTTTTCTACTTTATTAACAATGTATGCAATATGGTCAGAAGCTTTTATTTTAAAAGATTCTATTTCTGCTAAATCTTCTGGCTTAATTAAACTTTCCTCTGGTGGTAAATGTACAATTTTCTTTTTATGAACACCATATCCTGTAGGCTAATAATAATAAACAAAATAATAAATATGGATATGTCAATATAACATAATTTATAAATAACTTACTTGAGCCAGTATTTTTAAAGGATCTTCTTCATCATCACTATCAAGTTCAACAACTTTGACAGTATCTCTGATTTCGGTATATTTGCCTGTCCATTCTAATTCATTCATAGCAGCTTTACCTTCAGATGCTAAATTTAATCTTGACAAAAGATTGGTTGCATTTTCAACTTCATTTTTATGTTCTAGTTCTTTTAATATTTTGTCACGAAAAGATTTGATTTTTTTTCCTTTGTCTGGCAGCTTCAATATAAATATTCTAAAATAAAAGTATATATGTTTTATTAAAATAGTCTAATAAAAAGTATAGTTTATATCTTAGACCTTACCTACTTATTACTAAGGATTTTATTTTGTCTTTCTAATAATTCCTCTAGTTCAAACTTCTGTTTGCTTCCTAAATTTTCTATATATCCTTGATTTTCTCTTCTGGAAGGAGATGGTAGATCACCTGGTACTTTATTAATTATTTTTTTCTGAGACATTCCTTTTGAATTATTTTTGAAACTTTTATAAATTATAAAATTTGAAATATTTAGAAATTATTTCATTAACCTTTGTACAAATAATATTTCAAGTATCATTGAAATATAATACTTTTAAGAGAAACAAACATTGCATATTTCAGTTTATGTTAAATTATAATTATTTTACTTCAATAATTATAAATTAATCCAATAATTATTATTATACAAAATTACGTATACCAACCAAGAATTAAACAACACAGTTTCACTGAATGGAAGATTGCAACAAACAACACATTCAATACGAGATATCGAGAGCTTCAAACTATCGATATTACAGGACATGTTAAACGAAGATCTCAATTCCAACCTCAATGGAATTTATCAGGAAAATTTAAATAAAATGTTTGATTTATTATACTATGTTGAATCTTTATCCATTTGTGACGAATAAAGCTATCATCCCGAGCTTAATATAGAGAGAATATTAAAATATTGAATATTTTATTTCAAGATAAACTGAAAAATAATTTTTCTATAAAGTAATCAAAGTGACGTAAAGTTAATGTAATGATTAAAAGCAAGTTCGCGAAGCAACTGCCAATCTTTAGAAATGAATTGCAATGGGGGGTCGTCTTTGGGTGGTGAACATAGATCAAATACCTTTATGGATATTAAACCAATTATCACGTGTAAGTTCATTAATTAAAATATTAATATATGTAACCTCTTTATGGTGACATTGTTAGATATTATTATTTACGCCCTTGATAAACTGTCAATCTTTGTGACATTTTTTTTTCTTTTTTTAATCAGGATTGTTCGTGAAACGATATTATATGATATTTAGGTTACATAGCTCATAATAATAATTTTTCAGCAATATTTAAGACTTTCTAAATAATTAGCATTCATCGTTAATGAACATATGTTATTTTAAATAGGTTAATTCTTTTTTTTTATAATAAATTTTTTTTTGTGTATAGTGTTTTTATGTACCAGTTATTTATCTGAATTATAAAATACTTATTAAACTATATATACATACATACATATGTAATTTTTGTTTACATTACTTTATATCACTTACATATATGTAATTTTTGTTTATATTACTTTAGTCTATTTTAATGATTTTTCCAATATAGATGCAGGAGATGAAAAATTATTTTCTACATTGGAAAACAGTTTGCTTCAAGCCATATCTGCCGATATGGTGGAATGGCGTAGATCATTTAGTAGACCAATTAAACAAGTCAAACTTGGAGCAACATTTTTGCCATTTTCTAAGGATGTTCTACCAACTGAGAAAGATTGGCACTTGATAAAGCAACCAATATTTCATATCTATTGGACTGAATGTTCTGTAAGTTGGTTAATATTAAAATTATTAAACATAATATTAAAATATCTCATGAGTTTAATATGTTGTACTCTCATATTTGTCTAATTATGTGTATTGAGATTACAGGATGTAGATACTTATAAAGCAAGTATTAGAGAAGACATAGATAACTGGTTGAAGATATTAACACAGTATCATATTCAAGATTGGATGATTGTTATAGTAGAAACTTATGATATAAAAAAAACTAATAAGTTATTGCCTAGGACAACGGTTTTAGATAAAATTCGCAGTGACTTTGCTGCTAAAAATGGTGATAGGTGAAGTAATAATTATTCAATGAATGTTGGATAAGTACATTTTTACATATTATTCCTTTATTAGATCTTATGTTTAATGTATTATATAGATGTTGTTCTGTAATAAATCCGATAAAGTCGGAGATGCGCTCAGCTGAATCATGGAGAAGTTTAGTTAATCGTATACGTTATTTAATGCTTGTTGCATATGATAAAAGACTATCTCACTTTGAAGATATTATTAGAGAACAAAGAGAAAATAGAAATCATCCAAATTGGAATTTCTGTCACTATTTCCTACTGCAGGTAAATTTAAATCAAGTATTAATTCAAATATTATTATTAACATTAATTCATTATTTCAGGAAGAACTTGCATTTGTTTTACAAATGTTAGGATTATATGATGAAGCATTAGTACAATATGATGAATTAGATGCTCTCTTTACACAGTTTGTGCTTAATTCAAATGTAGGAGGTACGATATTTTATTTTCTTATTATTCATTTTTTTTAAATTATGAAATTAATTATTTAAAAATTTGCAGATACACCAATCTGGTTAAATTTATTTCAAACCCCATTAAATAACTGGGGTGGTGTTAATTTAAGTAATGGTACAAATCATCATTTAAGAAACCTTCTGGCTGAATGTAAAGCATCACTATTAGATCTTAGAAGTTATTTATTTAGTAGACAATGTGCCATGTTACTATCACTTAACAAACCATGGGAGGTTGGTATATATTAAAATCGTTCTTATTTGCAAAAAGTTTAATTTTACTATGAATAAAAACATACAATTATATTTTAATTTAGGTTGCGCAAAGGTGCTTATCATTTGTTCATAATACATTAAGTGAATTACGTATATTAGAAGTTCAACGACCTGAAGGATCCATTGAATGTTGGTCTTTTCTTTGTGCGTTAGAAGTACTTCAAGCTTGTCAATTATCATCTTATAATATTGATAATAATCAACAACTAGATCTTTGCTCCTTACATACTGCAAGTTTATGGGCTCTGGCTAGAGATAAAGTAAGTTTTCAGACATATTAATAGTAGAATAGATTGTAGAAATTGTATAAATAATACTATGGATTTTATTAATAATATCATGAATTGTGGAATTTATTTTAGTTGGGAAATTTAGGAAAATTATGTGGTTTAATGCCTGGAAATGAACCATCTAGTGAACAATTACATACAGTTGTTTATCTGATAGCTGGTATGGGAGATTCTGAATCACAGATAGAAGGAAAATTAACACCTACTGATAAATTAAAAGAAGCACTTTCGTCGAAAGAGGCATTTAAGAAACAATATCTTGAACATGCAGAATTAGCTATGGGTACTTATAAACATGTAGGCCGAATTCGATCAGCTCGATTAATTGGGAAAGAATTAGCACAATTTTATAGTGAACTTGGAGAAAATCAAAAAGCTGTTGCATTTTTATCGGACGCCTTAAAAACGTACACTGACGAAGGTTGGAGGCACTTAGCAGCACAAACTCAGCTCGAATTGGCTCAGTGCTACAAAAGAATGGACGATGTTGAGAAATACACAAAAGTATGTGCTGCTATTGCTAGTTTGGATGTATTACATATTACTGTTCGTAATACTTATTTTGAAGAAATGTTTGGTTATATGAAAATGATCTCATCACCACAACCCTTACTCGTAGAACTTGGATGTGCTTTCGTAGTACTCAGTATGGAAGTTAAAGTGATGGATAAGGTAGTACAAGACTGTGTGGTTAATATCGAAATATATATACAAAGTTTATTTCCTAGAGAAGTAAAATGTACTAAAGCGTCTATATCTGTTGAAGAAATTCAGAAACCTTTATCATCTAATAAAAAAAAAGGTTCAAGGTTACCACCTGAACCATTAATTCCACTATTATCGAGATGTACTCTAGAAGATATGAAACCATTTGATCCAAGTTTACTTCAATTACAAGTATATTCATATTTAGATTATAAAGAAGATAAAAGCCTCGGATCAGCTAGTGTCTTACACAGAAATACTAAGCCTATTGTAAAACGTTCTGACAGTACAAAACATAGGAAACCATCAGTAAATGCAAAAGGTGATTTTAGCAAAGCATTATCGTGTGATGAATTTATTATGAAACCAGGTATGAACACGTTTACATTAATTAGGTGTATTGATCAGCCTGGTTTTTATAAAGTTGGTCAAATATCATTAATAATTGAGGAAAAATTGGAATTTTTGTCACCTATTTTAAATCCTCGGTTATGTTACGAAGTAGCTAAGACTCAGCCTACAATTTCTATGAAATGTGGTCGAGACTTACTAGCTGGCCTTGTTCAAGACATAGAATTAGTGATTATGAGTGGAAGTATAAAAATAACAAAGGAAATGAAACTTAAATTACGTACATCTAGAGGATTAATAATACAAATTGATGGTTCACAAGAAACAATGTCTAAAGAATTAGAAATATCACTGCCACTTTGTGAACCATTTCAAACAATACGATTAAAGTTCAAAGTTTTAGCTGAACTACCACCAAAGAAAGATTCTTTATCAATGGAACATAAGGTATGTTTTTCTACATAAAATTTAAAAATCGATAATATGTATGCAAAAAAAAAGAGAAATACAAAAATTTTAAAAAAATGTTATGTATGTTAAATATTAAATTTTTATAGTTGAATATACAGTGTCCATGGGCTACAGAGGAAAGCATACCTCTACATTTTGGTCCACCACTTATGTCAAATATGAAACTCCATACAGCAAAACAAAGGAAATTTCTCCAAATAATTGTAACGGGATTAACAAATCAACATTTGCAATTAATTGAGCCAGAATTAACAACAGTAACATCAATAGATGTTAATTTTAAAAGTTTAAATCCTATTGCTGGTCAGAGATTAGTAATAGGTAATGGAATAAATGTATCATTTATGTGGGAGCTTGAAATTGGTAAAGATGAGAAGTCTTTGATGCCAATAAAGACTGATTTTCGTGTAAAATATATACCAATTAATGATACTGAAGATCAGAATGATTTAAATAGCAATGACGATCCTTTGCAAATTTATAATTTACAAAGAATGGAAAAAGCATCTAGTCTTTATAGATGCAATTTTGATATTACAGATTATGTGGTAAGAATATAATTATTTCTTTGGTTCTTTTAACAAGTATTAATTAAAAAAATGTATTCTTGTAATTTATGTAAAAATTTGCTTTATGAGTAATTTAATTATAGTAAAATGTAAAATATAAAATTTATTTTTTAAATACTTCAAAAAGGTGAGTTTCTATTTATAATATCATTTTCCAGACTTTATTTACAGTGTCTTCAAAAGTTGAAGCTGCTGGAAATGGAGGTGAATTTTGTCGTGCTGGTAGTATGTGCCATCTTTATCTTACAGTAACACGTATGTTACCTAGTCCAAATCCAAATCCTTCACCACAATTAATGTACGAGGTTCTTGCTGATCAAACTATGTGGGCTGTATGTGGTCGTACTGCTGGTATTGTGTCTTTGGAAGTTTTAGAAAAACAAAGCGTCACATTGGACGTGATGCCATTAACCAGTGGTTATTTGCCCCTTCCTGTTGTTAGATTGTCTCGTTATATCCCAGCACCAGAATCCAAAAGTGGTAGGTATTCTAATACTTGAATATTAAAGGTATATTTGTATAATTTGTTTTATATTTTCATAACTTCATATTATTAACATTTTTAAGATATGATTCGTAAAAGTGAAATAGCTTCTAGTTCAAGACTAGAACCATTCAGTCCTGGCCAAGTTTATAATGCTAGTAAAGCACAGCAAGTTCATGTTCTACCAGCAGCACCTTCAGAAGCGAACTAAGTGCAGATATTGATATTAAAAATGTAAAAATACTATAGCATTGTAAAATGCAAATTGTACATTGATCAAGACAATTTCTACATTGTTTGGTATATTTCTACGAGACTATTTACGTATACATATAACATTATTATTATTAATTTATCAATCATCATTATACTAGTTTGTTTATATTTTTATATTTTTTAATTGAAATTTGGATTCTGGACAAATAAAATTTATATATATTGTTCAAAATTTATTTGTTCAAAAAACAAATTTCAATATGCAGCATTGTTTATTTTTATTAATAATAAGTAATTACAAATTTAAGTTTTGCCATTATTACAAGCAAGGAAATAATATGACAATATTTCAGCAGTAGGTAAAATTCAGAAATTTCATAGTTGAAAAATACTGCTACAATATAATGTTTCTTTTGTGCAGTAATGTGATTTGTATTCTAGTGACCTTATTGAACAATATTCATTTTTTGATATTGTATAGTCCACATGTAAAATTCAATCAACATATTTGTCTGTTTGATCTACTCTGAGTGAAATAAGTTGTAAAAATTTGTTATTTTTATTTTAAAGTATATACTTATAATTTTTCCATCATGCACCTATAATAATAATAGTTTCTTTAAATTGTTTCTTATATTCCAAATATTTAATTTTTTACATAATTCTATGTGCTAGATTTATGATAATATTTGTGATAATTTCATTCAATTTTGAAATTCTTACAGATTATGTTATTTTTTAATTCTAAAGTAATCGAATATTTAATTTTTTTGTTAAATGCAATTCTGTAAAATTTGTACAAAAGTTTCTCCAGAATATACTCACAATATTGAATAAGTATTAGAAATTATATAGTTTGTGCAATACAAACAATACAAAAGCATCACAAGAAGTAATTAACATCTTAAGGCTAAAGCTGTGTTCTGTATCTAATTCTAATATTTGTGAAAAATGTAAGTATATGTAAGTATATAAAAGGAACAAGATATATATGTTATTTATATTACATTTACTTTTTAATTTCATTATTCAAAATATGAATATTGCAAAAAGTATCATTATATTGCCATGTTAATTAAGAAATCATCCTTTAATTTAATATAATCATTCATTGTGTAAATAAGATTATTATAATACTCAATATGATATTTATATGTTAGAAAATATCAGAATTTCACATTTATAAGATAAAAAAATATTTTTCAATATAATATAAAATATATTTTAGGAAAATATAACGGTAAAGTTTATTTCCACATTTATTTATTAATTAACAGATAATCAAATATGAATAAATTACTAGATATATTTTTCATTTTGTTTGCAATTAAAATTAATAACATTTAATGTTAAATATCGTTTTTAAACGATAAAAAAAAAATTGAAGATATGCATATGTGTATATATACATATCTTTGAACATGTGTATATAAAGATATTTGAATATGTTAAATAGTATATGTATACATAATAGTATACATTGTTATTCTGCACTTTAAGTTTAGAACGATATATTTAATGGAAATTATGAATGTCATGGAATGTTAGTATAAGTTTTGAGTTTACAATAATGATTTTATTACATATATATATATATTATTCAAAAGGTGTTAATTTTTTAAACAGCTTAAACAGTTGTTAAAATTCTACAATATCTCTGACATAGTATTAAGATTAAAATATTAAAGTCAGTTCCATGTAATCTCATTGAAATATTATTTGATAAATTGTATTTTACTCAAAATAATTAGACATTGTATCATAGGTTAAAATATAACTTTTATTTTTTATATGTACATGTTAAGATGAATTCTGAATAAAAAAGGATTTTATTACATAAGGTGAATTGATATGAATTAATCCACATATGAAGTATCAATTATATTTCAAATATAATTTACAACTTAGTAATTATAAATGTTACGAATACATAAATACGTTGAGTTGTTGGAAAACAGACATTCAGATTATCAAAAGAGGAAATTGTAGGCGTTAAAAGTTCAGTTGCCTATTTAAGCAGTAAGAAATATGATATATTTTAAGCATACATATTTAAAAAATTTTGCTATTATATTTAATATCATTTACATGTGTATATATATATAATTATTATAAGATGCATATATATATAATTATAAATAACATAAAGATATTAATAAGTAGGTGGCGGTTGCTGTGTGAGTAATAAACCAAATCTTCGTTTTAATGTTATCCTTTCTCTAGAATATTTATCTTCTGGAGAAAATCTAGCTGTAATAATTTATTATATTAATTTGTTGCAAAATTTTATAGACATTTGTTTACTTACCTGGATGAGCCGATAGCGTTGGTTTCCCATTTGGACTGATCTTCTAGAAAATAAGAAAAAAAAAATATATGTATATGTAAATAAAAAGAAAAGTGAGGTTATTAATATGTTACAAAGCGAATTAAATATTAATATATGTTACAAAGCGAAAATTCAATGCTTTCATTTATCTATGTAAACAATTACAATATGTAAATATAAAATAGAATTAACAAGAAAAAAAAGTAATGCATTTTTTTCTATAAATAATAGATGTATATAATGTAACAAAATACATTTTAAATATATTTGTACATTTTAACAAATTTATTACCTTTAATGTATATACTCGCTCTCCATTTTCATTTAAATAATACATTAAATACATTTTTAGCAATTAATTTTTATTTTTTGGATAAATTCGAGTTGTGGTTGTCAATACCTCGTGCTTATTCTCTTATTCTGTATATTTCCTACGCATGCGTCGTTCGAGAATAATTTAATCGATCACTCAGATCGATTTATCCGATTTTAAATTTCAAAATTTTTAGTCAAAGAGTATATGAATAGTTTAATTTATAAAATTACAAAATTTTAATTTATAAAATTACATTCAAAATATTGTTTCTAAATATATATATAAAAAGTTTGACTTTAAATTTGAACATAGTTAATATTTAAAACTTTAACGATTAAATATCACATTTTACAAGTTATCGAGATATTATCTTTTTACATAAGAGATTTAAACATTAATAATTTAACATTAATTATTTAAATATTTAAATATTATTTAAGTAATTAACATTAATTATTTAAGCTTATTGTAAAGAATAATTATTTTGTGAAAAATATAGATATAAAATTTTGAAATTAAGTAATAAAAAAAATTTGTTCAACATTATCTTCAATTAATTTTAATTGTATTCATAATGCCGACATATTATGTATGTTAAGGGGTTTGAGAGTTAATGGTGTGGTTCATTTAATAACAGAGAAGAATTTAAGATTGATTGTGTCAGAATATCTCGTGGTCGAAAACTCTGATTGTCCACACGTATGTCTGTGTAACTAACAGACCCATGGGTGTAGAAGTTCTGACAATTCTTCTTAGCAAAGTCGATTCAAGCACGCATGGTCGATGCAACGAACCGCCAGATAGTCACAATACAGAGTATCACTTCCGTTGACAGACAAATCATTGTCAGTGTGAAATGAGTATTGCCTGCAACAGCGTATTCAGACGTCATTCTACGAAGATCATATTAACATAGTTTTCTTAACGATATTTAAGGTAATTTCTACATATTTCGCATATTCATAGATTTATTCAATATTAATTTATATGTCAATATAATCTGCAATTACTATATATCTAATCATCAACATCTAATCACACACGTAATATAATTTTATTAACGATAATATATTTTACGATAATACGATAATACTTTATCAATTTATTACGTACGGTGATATTTAAAAATCATTCTTTCTTTTAACTAGATATTTTTATGTAGGTATAACAATTTTTTATAAAGCATACTATCTGTAAATTCTACTTTATATTTTATAATTATTTCCTATACATTTGATAACTTATACTAATTTTTAAATACGCAGTAATAAAGTAAAATGCTTAATTCTTAAGAAACATAATTTAAAAATTTAACATAATTTAAAAATCAAAATACATTGGAAAAGATATGTCGTACAAAATTACATTTAGTTAAGGTTAAAATTATGTTTGAAGAAACTCATTCGAGTCGTATTATCTGTAAACACTCTATCCATAAAAAATAATCATGAACCGATACCGATATACTAACTTTAAAACTAACGTGAACTACTGATCTAGTAGTTCACAGCTCGATGTTATTTGTTGAATAGAGTTTTTTTATTTTATAAACGAAAATGACATATTCTTTTCAGATGCAACCAAGAAAAATTCGGTGGATTATTCAAATTGAAGAAGATCCATGGCAAGGTGAAAGCGTCGAGGAACAAATCTCCAGCATTAAAGGTAATTTAAAAATTAGTTACAATATATATTTAAAAATATCTTGGACTGTGAAATAGTTTTATAATTATCTCGTAGTTTTATAATTGATAGATCAATTGAAAAAAAGCATGAAGTGCTTTGTCACTTCACTCATTAACTACAATAATGTCAATATATTACCTATTCTATTCATTAGGAAAACATACTTGTTATGCGTTCCGTATCATTTACGTAATTATAAATAGAAATGATCAATGCGATTACGTTTTACACTACGTTTTACCTTGTTCCGTAATGTAAAAATATACAATATATAGAAAAAAATCGTTATCATAGATAAATTTCATGTATGTCATGAATGTAATGTTTTTATTAAAGTTATGTTATTAATTTTATATCTGAAAGATCTTTACGTATAATTATTTTTCAATATCGTAACTTTTCGCATATAATGTAATCGTAACTTTTCGCATATAATGTATATGTATGTCAAAGCATCTGAATATTACCTAGAATATATGTGTCTTATTATTTCGCGAAATTTTAAAAAAGCATGTATTACCTCCGAGAGTACCACCTCGAAGAACACTTCGCTTATTATATTTTAATTGTCTGACGATTTTTCAAAGGATTTGATCTTCTTTTAAGCATGTTTTAGATACATTCGTTATTAATTCATATAATTAATTCATACATTACCTATACACATCGCAATTTTCGCAATTGATAAATGTCATTTTCTCCATTTTTCTGCTTATAATTTGCACGTGACGATATTTTTGGAACACATGCGGTATTTCTGGTTGGTGCATTTCGCGTAGAGAGAAGAACAGCAACAGTTATATATGAACCTTGACACCAAATATTTCAATTGCACGTTGTCTATATTTTTTAAAGCGTTTTTCTTGTATGTGTAACTCTAAAACATTTTGAAACCTGCACTTAAAAGAGTAAGTAACGATTTTGTAGTTTTTCTAAGTCGTATATGTATATAGCTATGAACGTCTATCGATGGCTACAATTTCCACCAGAATTTCTGGTGTCATTTTATTCATACCGAAGCGACAAATTAACGATAACGAAATTAGTTTTCAGTGGTCGAATAAATTTAATATTTGATGCGTCGGCGCTGACTTCCAGAAAGAAGATCGCCTACGAGGCAAGCTTCTCAACACCTTACAGTATCGCGACAGACTGCACCGAATGAGGTTCTTTGTTAACGAAATCCATAATGTGATCTACTAACACATTATCAATTAGAATCTCATTTAACCAGATTTAACGCATTAATAATTTGCCTGCGGTGAAATATTTAAAATCCGTGTTTATTTTATGGTAAGATCCTCCAAAGAATTAAAAGTTTAATAAAACTGTAACAAAATATCATTTCAGCGATTATTAATAAGTCTAATCATAGACATAGATTATGTTTAATGATAATGATAATATCATAGACAATGTTTAATATTCGGAACGATATCTTGTAAAGAGATTAATTATAACGTGTATTTGGCATCAAAAGTCGAATATGTTTTAACATTGTGAGTGATAAAACGATGTTTACAGTTTTCAAAAGAGTGATTTGTTTAATGTAGTGTATAATACAGTGCATTGTGTTCAGCAATTGTAAATATATGATAAATTGTTCAACAAAACATAGTACATTAAGAATATTTAGTAATTTCAAATGCAGATACAACCGGAAACAAGTATGGATGATGATATTTGTAAGTATATCAAAATGTTAAAACTGCATAAATTTGTTTTTATAATTGTTAAAACAATCACGACGGGTTTCGCTATATGGATACAGATTTGTTAAATATATAATAATATATCTATTGCTGGATTTAATTGGACTACTTGAAGAATTAAAGACACGACGCTCTGGGAGGTCTCCAATACAAAGATACACCTAGACGCATTTCCCGGAATTGCACTAATTTCGTTTTGATTCAATATGGTTTTTAAGAATACAAATTTAAATTTATCGACGTCGGATATCCAATGTTAAAATAATATTTATATTACCATATCAACTTACTCGTGCTATATATTGTTTTTAACTGTAGGAAATTTTGATTTCGAGACGACAATTGACAGAATTTAAAATTCATGTGATGTAGTTATACGGTCTTTCTACCTATTCCATTCAGGAAAGGCTACTTCTTTCGATTTCTGAGATCCTGTTTACCTGTGATACATTGGGCCTTACGGTACGCAAGGAAGAGCCGGAGGGCCTGTTCCAATGCTCATGGATCGTAATTTTTCCATGTCTGTTATAATTAATCCTTCGAGATATTTCATAGATACTTGGTGCATAAATTCATTTGATAAATGAATTTATCAAATGAATTTATTCGCTATTTGTTTCGTAAATTTCTTAAAACTTATGCAATTATCGATTATAAAATTATACACTTGACAAGTGTAATATCGAGAGTACAATTGCAGAATTGTTATTTAAAATTCGTAATTTAATTTTTTTCTGGTCGAATAATTTTAACTGGTGATCGACCGAGTCTAAATTTTAACACACCTTTCATTGTTTTCCTACGTGGACATCAATAAAGTCCCACGATATATTAGGGAAAGAGAGAGATCATAATCTGTAAAATAAGGAAAGAACGAGACAATTAATAGGCAGAAACGAGATAGAACGAAAGTATATATCGCTAGAGGGCGGGTACGGGTGGGGGAAGTTGGGCCTTACTTGTTCCGAACTCCGAGGTTGCCAGTTCGCTCGAGACTTGGCCGGTGTGTAGTTTGTTCGGCGAAATTGACGCTCGTATGAAAGTAAGAACGTATGCCAGTTTTTTCTTTTCATTTTGCATTTTCGGCTCTTGAATCGTTTATCGTTCGTCCGTGTCTTTCTCATCTTATCGTCATCAGACACTCGTGTTCTCTCTCTGCCTTTCTAGCTGTTCGTCCGATACTTGCGAGCAATCGACGAGACACTGTGACTTCACGTACAAGTTTCGATCGAGTCAAAGATTTCGGAGCTTGCTTGAAAGAAACGCCATCGTCGATGGGAATAGAGTAAACAAGGGAAAGGGATAGAAAGAGAGAAGGGAGATAAAGAACGCGAAACGCGAGCGAAAGAAACAGAGAGAGAAAGTTAAAAGTCCATGTGTGTATGAGTGACGACGTGTTTGCGTGCATACGGGTGCAGTGGTCTTCTTGACAGTGTGGAATCAACAAGTGTCGTGTACGGATCGTCGTTGTCGCGCGTCGAGCGCGCGTTTCTAACCTCATCATCGAGATCGGCTCGAGAGTCGGATTGATTCGTTTCATCGTTAGCGATCGTTCCTGTTCTCCGTGTTTGCATTTTAATCGTGCGATCTGCGAATGCCTGCGAAAGCGTGACGACTATAATTGATGTGATATTCTGTGCTTTCTACTAACGTGCCCTTGGATATTGTTACGTCGCCGATTCGGTGGCTGCGTCTCCGCAGTCTCAAGATGGAAGTCGTTTACATAGGTATGTGAGCCAACAATTACGACTTTAATCGTCAGAACTTCCTATTATTGTTACTTTTACTTTGAAAACGTCTCGTGTGTTGGTGGAACGAACGTCTTGACGTACATTCACCTTTTAATTACAGTTCGCGTCTTGACATCTTGATGTTGGTCGAGAGTCCGCTCGACATTCCGAATTTTTATCGGAAAGCCGGCACTCGTTCTTCTTCGTTTTTACTTACTTATTTATTTCAATAAAATAAATTTAACAACAGAATTTAACGATTAACTGGATTCACTTTTCGTTGCGCACATTGCAATTTAAATTATTTTTTTACGTTTTACCATGTTATATTCAATAACGAATGAAATCTATATATCGTGCATGGCACAATATTTTACTATGTTCTTTGCATAGAACTCAAAAGATATGTTTTATATAATATATTATATGTTTTATATATTATATGTTATATATATATATATATATGTTTAATATAATATATAATATATGTTTTATATAATATATTATTATTTATTATTTTTATATATTATTATTAACTCAAAAGATATATTTTATACAATGTATTACTATTATTTATTTAATATATTATTATTATGCATTTCACTCTCACCGTCAGTAGGCAATGAGGTTATCCTATGTTCTAAGGTATGCTTTATCTAATCTTCGAAATATTTATTCAGCATATATGCGAAACGCATGTACATGTCAAGAAAGAGGTGCGATACACGTGCACGTCGAGAATGATAACTGGACTGCGTAAGTGGTATCATTTAGATTAAAACGCGTGCTTCGTATATCATTTATTAAGTTCGATGAATGAGTTACGATATTACGCGGGACGATATAAAGAAACCGAAGCGCGCAAATTTTTATTTTTAATTTCCCGCAGTTTTCAATTTTCACATTCGTGATTTAGTTTTCAGATATTGAACACTACCTGAATCAAAAATAACTTTCATCGACAATATTTAATTAACAATAACGTGGGGATTAATCCTTACATTGTGTTAAATTTGCTACGATAACTATACCGTAGTAACAGCTATTCACAGACAATATTTCTAATTACTGGTTACGAAAACAATGGGGGCCGTTCTCGTAAAAAATCTCGTTTACACATTGATGCATTTATAGATTCATTAACACGTGAGCAATTAGATAATTGCAACAGTAGTCGGACCGTGTAGTTTCACTTTTCGTTATATCGTTTAATTATTTCTAATTTGATACTGACTTTTGAGGAATTCGTTTTCATTAAAATGACATAGAATGTGGACATTTTCTAAGATAGCTTCTAAGATAGATTAGTCATTGTTATAGCGCGAGTGATTCATTATATGTGTGTTTGTTAAAATAATGAGTCTCTTTGTTTCCCTTGTTTCAATGAGTCTATTTCAACAATAGAGAAAACTGCTTGTATATCTTAGAGAAGAAACGCATTCCATAAAATTACGTAACGCTAGTATGACGAATCAAAAGTCGTAAATGTAAAAAATTCCTATTCTGTAGATCGTTTCTTGGCGTTACGTGTTCTTTAAAATGTGTGATTGCCGTACAAATGAACTCGAGATATTCATCGTTCAAAAGTTACGATCCTGCATTCCTATATATTGCTTCAGA